CTGTAATGCATTTGGAAAAACATGCTTTAGACTCTTAATTATATGGTTAGAAATGTTATAGGCGCACAGTCATGGGTTGGAAGCTTGAAGTTATATGATCTGTTTAAGTACTTCTTTGTTACTTTTCAACCCTAAAAAGGGTCCCAAGGCAGTTTGCAAAATAAAATACTACCAGATTAAATCAAAGAAGAGTAGTGGTTCGAATGATAATATCAAATTAAAAGCTGTTAAAAGCTTGTGAGAATAAAAAAACATTTTTTGCTGCCTGTCTAAAAGCTATCAAAGTAATCTAACTTTCCTTCAGTGGAATTCCATAAAAATGTGCTGGCACTGAAAAGGCCTTGTTCCAAGTTCCCAGAAAAATGACTTTTTGGGTAGTGGGATTCCAACAGGGTCTCAGAAGGTTGATGATCCCAGTGAACAGACACATTCATCTGGGAGGAGGTAATTCTTCAAATATCCTGACTCAGAGGGTTCCAGTTTCTCTAGATAAGTTGCAGAACTTTCCATTTGACCTGGAAATAAACCAGAAGCCAATGCAGCTGATGTAATACTGGTGCCAGTGATCTGTAAAATGTACCCAGGAAGCAATCTGGCTGTTGGTTTTGCCTCTGTTAACAGTTTCCATGGAACCTGCACAAGGGTTGTCATAAGTCTGAGTTGACATGATGGCACACAAATATTAATTATTATAACAGCTCACAAACACTGAGCAGGGGCCGCCTAGAGATGAACATTGGGGGCTTTTTAAAGTTAAAAACAGGAATTCGTGTGAAAACTGAATTGTATACTATATTCCCCGTCATATCAAAACAAAACTTGTTCTATTGATTTAACAACAAACTTTCATACATGCAGAATAGTATACAAGTAGGTGCACTTAGTAAATTTTAAAATATAAACCCCATGCGTTTGTACAAATAGTATTGTGAATATACTCTGTGAAAAAACAGAGGATTGAAGGCAGCTGCACCCTGCAATGCAGTCTGCAAATACGTACCTACCTCTTACAAAGATGGCAGTGCCCACTAGGTACTAAAATATGGGTTAGATTTGAGTCTTGCATTTTGAACAGGAATCATTTTTCTGTCATTTTGTAGACTCTTCTACATACACACTTTCATATTGTTCAGTTCCTGGCATTTGAGTTAAGTAGAAACTTGTATTAAAAACCATTTCACTTACTCAAAAGGAGAAAATATTTCATCGGCGTGATTTTTTTGGGGGGGATCCCTAAAATGCCTTGTTTTTCATTGTCCTTGGATGGGAGAATCGTTTTACCCTCCTCCAATCTTTTTTCCCATGGGCTTTGTGGCCCCCACCCCCCACTGAGAGGGAGGACAGTGGAAAGTCTTCCCTAAAGGTTCCATGAATTCCACAAACTCAGATAGTGTTCAGCCAGACTTTATTGAGGCAGGGAGATGGGGGTAGAGACACAGTCTGGGTGTCCTGAGCCCCCCTACTAGTTTGCCCCCACAAGGGCTCAGCCCCAGCCCCTCCTGACCCAAAGCTGGGCCTGAGTTCTTGGCACTAACCACAGCAACCCAACAAGGACCTATAGTGCTTGGCCAATGTAAGGTCTTCCTGCCCTTTTGCTCCCAGGCCAATTGGATGAGGTGCTGGTATCACTGATGCTAGTGAGTGGTACCATGGTAGCACCTCCAGTGCTTCTTCTGGGTTGGCATTGGTTTACCCAGTGAAGTTCTGCATGATGGTCTGTTTGCTGTTGCAGTCGCCCTGGGGATGGGGGGGGAGATGGGTGCTCCCCCATTGTGACCCCTCCCTGAGACAAACCCACTGTCTTGTCCATAGATCTTGGAGGAGCAATGACCAGTTCTCCCCTAGGGCACAGAAGACCCAGATGGTAATGAGCTTCCTCTTCTTTTTCCTCTTCCCCTTTTATCCCTTGTTCCCAACAGCCAGCTCCACCCATGTCTGTTGGTGTAAGTTAGCAGAGTTTTTGTTTCAGTCCAGGCAGTCCAGTTGAATGACACAGACGAAGACAGCTTCTACAGACACCAAGTGTATTTACAATAGATACAGAAGTTCAGCAGTACAAACCGGCAGCATGACATTCATTAGAAGAGATCCTACATCTTCTCCACATGTCCACACAGTTATATACATGCACATTTACATACAGCCAGTCAGTGTGGACATTGCATCATCCCAGTCTGCATGATTAAGCATTTTGCACACCTGTCAAGTATAGCTGCTGATTATCATAGGCCTTGTTCTGCCTCAGTGCGGGCAATGTCCTCTCCCTGCAATCAGAGTTCTTCCTCCTCCTCCTCCTCACTCCCACCCAGGTGTACTGTCCTGTCATCTTCATCTCAGGCTGCCCTACCACTGGCATCTTAGTAGTCCTCTGGGAGGCACAGGGACAAGTGGGTGGCCCACCAGGAACAACGGAGGTGTCCCCTTCACAACTGCCATATCTTTAGGGTGACCTCATGTAGGAGCACCTCACAGGAATTTATTTGTGAAGTGATTAAGGCAGATGAAGTTGTCCCTGGATCCACCTTTCCAAGAAGTGCAAACCCTGCTAGTGCAAGCAGGCTGCTGATACAGCAATTTTGGCAGGCAGCCTGCAACCTCTGGTTAAACACAGATAATGGCTGTATAATGCAGGTGGGTATTATCTCCATATTAGATTTGGGGCAGGAGCCTGAGTAACTAGTTTTCCAAAGCGACAGAAGCAAAATTCAATTTAGTGGTTTCCTATTCTGTAGTCTCTTACTTGTTGTGTCCACCACACTCTCCACATAGGCATACCAATGAATGCTTTATTATGGCAGAACTTTCTTTAATACATGTGCTACAGCTGCTCCCTTGGACAAGCTGTCTTTGACAAAGCAGACTCTCCAAAGATTTTTGTATGCTGCTGTGTTTATGCCTAGAGAGCCTAGGTTTTGCAAGCCCTTTTACTAGGAAATAAATTTCTTCCAAGTTTAATAATTAAACTGGGCTGGGATTTCAATATTTACTCTCCTTTAAAAAAATGCATGAAACAACAGTGACATTGGATACAATCTTCTGCTTATAGTTGACTGCTTTGGTGAGTTGATATGTATTGAAATGTCTGGAAAATTAAATCTCATTGTTCGGTAGTGTGAAAGGGATTTGTGTCTCTTTAAGCAACTTTACTTCATCCAGTTTCTGAAAGATATCCATAATGTACAGTGTTTGCCTTTTGAGATATGTTTCTACGTGTTGTGTAATAGGTAGAAGTTTGCCCACATTATGCTGCAGGATTTTCTTTCTTCTTTTTAAAAATGGGAGGAATTTGGGAAGCACGGAATGAAGAAGCGGAGGTACTATTGGACTAATTAAATATTAAAAATTTCAGGGTTTCAGATACAGTCTTCTAACAGGCAAAAATATCTCAGCTGATCTGAGCTTTGTACATGTTGTGCCTGCTGCGTCCCACATGGCTCCAAGAGAGGAGTAAAAGTTTGTGCACCTCTGAAGTCTTCAGAAACTGTGTAGCAAATCTTTCAAAAAAGCAATGTGTGAAAAATAAAAGAAATTGTATATGCATTTCCTGGTTGGCATTTTCTTCAGTATCTAGAGAAGGTTGTGTTTCTTTTTTGATGCTTCACAAAGTTTGTTTATGTGCCTATGAAAGGAAAGGCCCACTTTTCTTTAGAAAGCAACTCCACCAATCAGCTCCAGCCTCAAACTTCAGCAGATAGGTTTGGCAGTCTTCTCTGCTGGTGGGGTGAACACATCATCCATATTGCCTGGGTGATTGGCTATGGTGATATCATAATAATTAGGGCTTGTGGCCCATGGTCAAGCCATGAGAGAGAATGATTCCTCATAAGAAGAGAAAAGGTTAATCATATGGCTAATGTAAAGTGTTGAGACACCGTTCAATTTGACTGGATTTTTTTTCATTCCCTAATTTGATATTAAATACACCAGAAGAGAAGCCTATCTTTTGCTCTTGTCTTCCAACAGAAATTACACATTTCAGTGAGCCTCTTGCATACTCCTTTTCTAATAGCTGGCATGACCTGCCTTCTAATCTTGAGACACATGGCCTAGCCTTCCCTCTCAGCTGCATGCTGTAATGTCCAAGCATCACTCAGAAGGGAATACAGTGGCCAGAATCCTATTGCTGTTCATGTAAGGTTTGCATAATTAGCCACAGTGAATTGGGGTTAATTGACAAGGTGTCAGGACTGTCTCAGTTGGGCAGGTAACCAGGCATGCAACCAAGATGTGCTCTAGCACCCGACCAATTAGCACTGGCGAGCTACACAGACTTTACACGAACACCAGTGGGATTCTGGCCAACAGTCTTCTAAGAGAGATCCTTGGCAATTACCTCACACTGACTAGACAAAAAGTTGGGCCATGTGTCTCAAGGTTGCAAGGCAGGGCATATGAATTATTAGGTAAAGACTATGCAAGAGCGCACTGATTATTTTGGAGGACGGTCTATAGCAACTTTGGAGGGGGGGGATAGCTGTGTTAGTCTCTTGGAGCAAAACAGCAGAGTCTTGTGATATATTTTATTCAGCATAAGATTTGATGGGCAGCAGCCTGCTTCAGACAAACCTGAGTGTTGTGTTACAGCAAATATAAATGAACATTATTTTCACACAAGCAAAGCGTGGAAACATTAGAAACATTACCTTTTTGGACTATATGTGCCAAAATTCCCTAGCTATAATGGCCATAGTTTATGCTGGCTGGGAGACTGTGGGAACTGTAGTTGAGAAGGGTAACTTTTCCAAGTTGTGGGCCACAGGCACAAGTGCCAACAGGTAAAGGTTACTTCCGAATAGGACTCTCCATGTGGTCTGGAATATGAGCTTATACATTCGGGGCCATGGAATTAGAACTCTTAAGAATTTATGTTAGTTTGTAAACAATCCAATCAGTCCTTTAATGCTTAACAGCCCTATCAGTGTCAGTACCGGGAGATATTTGGATAATGTTTTCTTCTTGCTGGATAAAGTATGAGCAAGAATATTTTCTCTGTGTTACAGATAACGTCAGTGAAGATTCTGAGTTCAGAGAACCTTCTCCCATTCCGAGGAATATAATGGCCGAACCAGATTACATAGATGAGGACAATCCTGAACTAATTAGACCCCAGAAACTAGTTAATCCTGTTAAATCATCCCGAAATCATCAGGACCTTCATAGAGAACTTCGTATGAATCAGAAAAGGTAAGAAACAAGATGGTAAATTCTTCAAGCAGCACAAGTAATTTCCAGTAATGAAGGAGCTTAATCTTGTTTTCTGTTCTCATGCAGTCACATGTTAAGACAGAGGTGCAGAACCTCTGCCTCTCTTAATGCTCTTGGGTTGTTGGCCCCAACAACCCTAGCCAGCTTAGCTAATGGCCGTGAATTCTGAGCAACAGCATCCGAGGGCTTTAGATACTCCACCTCACCACATGGTTCTTACCTCAGAGAAAGAAAAGTTCTCTGTTGGCTTCTCTGACTATTCCTTCCTGTTTATTGCTCAGTGATCCTAAATCAAACAGTTGGTTACTTCCCAGTGAAAGGCCTTTTCTGAATATTCTGGGCCTCTGGCATTCCTTTATCAAGTCTCGGACTCTGGCCAGGCATTGCCTTAAGATAAAACCACAAAAATAATCCTGTTCACTGAAATCTGTTGTCTATACATGTTCTCATGCAAGTGTACCTGCTTCCATTGTGCTGCATCTTAAATATACCATGCAGGGCAGCTTGAGGTCTTGGGGGAGCGTTCTCACCCAAAGAGTTGAGGGTATTCCCCCCTCCCTTTCCCCTTTTACAAGAACTATGTAATTGCTTGTGGGAATGATATAGAAAATCTCACAGGACCATCAAGGTGGCCTTCTTTAGAAAAACAGAATTTTCCCTCTCTAGGAAGGCAGATCATCTGAACAACGAATAGAGGTGTAACTGTATTTATAATACAAAGAAAGACTAAAAGGAGAATCTAAAGACACTAAATATACGAGTAGCTCTCCAAGAGAAGTTCTGAAGTGTAGCAGATGGAACTTTGAACTGAATTGCCAAAGAAACACATGAGAATATAGATGAGGGATGCAAGTCTACAATTTAGCATTGTATAACCCTGCCCTTTATGTGGTTTTATATATTAGTTTCTTGGGACCTACAGTGATCTTATCCAAAGTTAAGCTCCTTTTAATAAAGTTTTATTTGTGTAGCATCCATATATGCCAGGCTGCCTGACTGTTCATAGAATTGAATGTAAACAACATTGCAATTAAGTGTTGAATGGTAGGAAAGTCAATAACATGACCTTTTGAAATTCAGTTCTCAGAAAGCATACGTGCATTTTAGGAAAAGTAGAGGAAAAATGACTCGAGGATATACTAGCAACATTGCTTTTGTTATTATCTGAGAAAAATGAAACCAAAGCATCACCTTTTTTTAAAGCCAGGAAGAACAAAAGTGCCTTGCACAAACTGAGTGGTGTAAAAGTGGATCCAGCCAGCCCACCCCATCCACCTGTTTTTGGTTATGTGAATGGCCATGTTGTTGTATTCTGGGAGGGGGGCATTCCCTGTACTGACATTTTGGTGATTTGTTTGAGATGGTGTAAGATGCTGTCCCAATTATGTCTGCTTTCTGAACTGTTTCTCTTTAATGTTTTTAAAACATAAACCATTCAACTTTAGTGCTGCATTAAGTAGGCACTGGAAACTTGCTGGCTTGTTATTTACATGTGATTTGCCTTCCATCCGGTTACTTTAGCTTCTCCATACAAATACTATGCCTTGCTCCTCCCCCCCCCCCGTTTTTCCTTTTCTTACATCTTTTCTTACACCATTTTGACCTGGTGTTTTATTTATTTTTTATTTATTTATTTATTGTATTTATACCCCGCCTATCTAGTCATTTCGACCACTCTAGGCGGCTTACAACATAAGGATAACAAGTTCTAAAAACATTTATAACAATTAATTAATTAAATGATTCTATAAGATGGGAAAAATAAAAATAAATCAAATAAAGAGGGGGGAAAAAGGAAAGAGGACAGGAATTAACTGGAAGGGAAGGCCTGCCTATACATCCATGTTTTTAGTTGGTTCTTAAAAGTACCCAGCGAGGGTGCAGCGCGAATCTCCGGAGGTAGGTTATTCCAGAGACGAGG